CTTGACGGGTCAAAAACGCTTTTATTCCAGCAGGGCAGAGGCGGACTACAACCAAACGTTTATGGGGTTTCTAGGCTGAACCTAAAAATGATACAATGACTAATAGGTAACTGTCGTGAAACGACTTTTTGAATTATAAATGCTTTGTTTGACAATCCAAATCATTATTGGTACTAAAACTAGCAATCAAAGGTACATCAATCCCTCTAGAACTCACCTTCCATACGCTTTAGTCCATGCTCAGAGTCCCAAAAATTGCCAAGTAAACCGGACCTGCTGGGGTTGGGAATTCACTTTGTGCAGTTGTCGCAGCACTGAAGGACAGGATGACTTGCATCCAGCTTATAGATAGGTTCATCCTGCAAAAATTGGATCACCCTAGGTCGTATAAGACCTCTCAAAAGCTTTTATCGTCAAGGCCAAACTGAAGTATATACTACGCATGCGGGTCTCATCAAACACAAAATGGGACTCAAATCCGGGTCATGATGATCATAGCAACACGTTGCCCCTCCACTATACAGCTGTAGGTGCCAGTTTGTTACAAGAATGAGATATGATATTAAAAATCATATTTTTTAAATGTACAGATTGCTAATTGGATAAATTCAAAGCAGTGTGGATAAAATTTTACCACGACTGCTTACTCACTCTATAATGACTAAGTTACTATTCCAGATCTACCAAGAGTTTCAAAATTTAAACGTGCTGAATGCAATGGAAAATGCATGTTTGATTCATCAATAGAATTCTTGTGACCAACTGGCCCTCGTGGCTATGTAGCGGAGAGATACCGTTTCGCCAAAATGCGCACAATTCGGTTTCGAGTCCCTTTGGAGTTACTTATGAGGTCCAGGCCGGTTTAAGTTCATTGATATCTTGAGGTCTATTCATAATGTTGTGGGAAAACTATACAACATTTACGAATAAGTTTGACCTATTTTTCGTTTTTAATTATGTTTTCGAGACTACCAATAAGTCATATATATTCACCCTCTTTTTATTTAAGGTGACAAGAGGATTGCTAATTGTGTTTTCTCACACTGATATGAGGAGACGTTATATTTCCATTAGATTTCACATATCTTGCTTCACCAAAAAGAGTTCATATTCAAGATGGATTTAAGTTTTAACCTCGCCTAGGTCTCCTCAGCAAATTTACGTGAAACTTAATGGAAGCGTAAGGTCTACTCATATGATTGTGGGCAAATTCAACTATTAGTTTCCTTATCACCTTAAACGAAATATGATGAATAGATTTCAAGTTTGACTTAGTTCGTATCTAAGATTTACTGATAGTTTTGAAATATACTTACACCGAATATGCGTTTACTATGGCAATTTGCCCAGCCTCGTGCAAAATCCGGACGGCCTGATGACCTGACAACCGGTCCAGCCGGCTGGTGTAATGCAACTGGGTCGTAAGCAGACGCCTGAGTCAACTGTTGACAGGTTACATGTCGGTGGGAATAAATGTCAACGTCATGGTAACACATGCTTGTCGGTTTCGGGTGGGCTGACACTGCGGGGTCACGAGTTGAAACGGTCAGGCAAAAGATGGGATGCCAAGGATCTTCGACATGAGGCCGGGACGAGCAGAAGTTAGCAAATTGCAGTCTCCCTTCTCTGACCGCTACAGCATAAATTGCAAAACGTTCATGTTCGTCATTTTCTGGTTGAGCGACTTTTAGGTCAGAGATGTATGTTACGCTTTTAAGCCAACCCTGGCCTCCACAGAATGCTGGAAACTCCCAGTCCGGGTTTTCTGTATGAAACCTGTCATTATGTTCTGTCGGAGCACCACTCGCCCAGCTGCGGAATGGTCAAGCCAGTTAAAGCAGTACATATATACAGAGGATAGCTGAGGTTAGAGGCATCCCCTGAGATAGATGTGTCTGATAATGAGATGTTTTGCTCATTCTTTTATCTAAAAATGATGATTGATTCGTGTTTCCCTGAAATCATCTGATTTTAGCATGGTATTCAGGATAATACAGGCGATTTAACTTTCATCCGTCATATGGCAGACATACTTAGAACTTGATTTCACTTTTATAAAAGCCTCAAGTTTGCCCTAAAGGCAGAAGATCAATCGGCTTCACCGTAAATGCTAACTAGACCCAGAAGGGAAATTGAAAGCATGTCTTACAAGTTGTTGTTGGTTAGTTTCCTTTCATGTCACTTTAAGTAGATACGAGGATAAACTGGGTTTCAATGAATTTCTCGAGATAACATTGTTAGAGGGACTTTCATTTCGTATGAAAGTGAATGAAGAAGAGATTCGTTGGTCGATCT